TATGTATTGGCCTTTGTCTTGGAATAGAGTTCATTGGTTTTGCTTCCGGTTTGCCATAGACTTAAATCCTTCCTCCGTCCCTTCCTCGTCATCTCCGAGCACGAATGATACGGGCGAGAATCTCGGAACGGAACACTGTTACATGGCCTTCCGGTTTCCGTTGGCGATGTACACATGTGTTGCGGTGACTTCGCCATCGTGTCCCGCTGGTGCTGGTGTCAGGTGTTGTTATGCAAATGCTCATGGTGTTCTTGTTGCTGTTCCTTGGTGCTAGACCGTTGTTGTTTTTGTATTTATATATATTTTTGGTGTCATTGTTATCTTATTATTGCTTTTATTATTACTATGCTAATCATCATCGACATGGTATATTATCAATGCAAGTGATGATAAGGTGATTATAAAAGTAACATCACAGTATCAGTAGTAATCAGTAGTAATAGATGAAAAAAGGCCGCATTATTTTTATGATTTTATTGAATCGACAATAAAATCATGTAAGCGTCTTCTTACCCACTCGATCATCAATACCGTTATTTTCCTTTTTTATCCACCTCCGAGATGCCATATTTGTTGAAACGCTCCATCGAACCGTTCGATTCGAAAGCCATGTCATTTTGTGTCGCCATAAAACCCGACAGATTTCTAGAGTGCCGCTGGGCGAGGAGATCGTACGTTATTCCAGCTTGCGAGACGGTTCTCAGATGGGGCGGGGTTTTCTGTGTCAGGATAAGAGCTTGAAGACAAGTGTTTTCCTTAGTAGTTACGTGTGTGTTCATTTGTAGATTCTTAAAATTGCTCGCTAAAATATATTTGCGATTTAAAGACACAGATTATTGTACTGTGGAAATGAGGCAGTAGGATGCTGGCATGCGGCGTGTTGCTCGTACCGGGTCAGCTGGTGACCTTGCTCGCCCTTACCGAAAGGGAGATCCCGGTCAGGTGCCTCGACGTTGTTTTACGGCCAGATGGTGGCGGGCCGATTCGTCATTCGATTGATGTCCAGGCTGTTCCTCATTAAGCTGACGGCGAGGGGGACGCTCCACCTGCGTCCGATCGCGTGTGGCCCATGACGCAACCGCATGTTTGCACCCGCTGTGGAAATTGATGTCGTCAGAGAGCTAAATGGTGTTTTTGCCCTCCCTGGGTCCGGGAACGGACTGTTGCTTTGGTGACTGGGTGCATTGCTCGGGCGTTGGAGGTTGTGGTTGGGGTGATATGCACGCTTTAAAATCAGGCATAAAAACACGTTTCAGTAGATATTATGATGCTAATTGGATGCCCTCTGGCCCCTCGAATGATTGGGTACAGCTTATAATTTTTTGGTGTTTGCTTAGTGATTTACTTTTTTCTACCAAAGACTGAGAATGTCGAAATCGTGAAACGACACACACAGATTCTAGAGATGTGGAAAGTGAATCTGAATGGTGGATGGCTAACAAGGCCAAACCTGGGTATTAGAAGGTAAGGGGCGGAGTTTAAGGTACGCACAGTGTACGCAATGCCCTTTACAGCAAGAGTGAAGCAATTCGTCTTGCGCTGAAACAAACCATGGTTATGTATGGTGTGGAGTTGCCGTACATTCTGTTTTCACGTTTTTATCGATGACTTCAGGAGCTGTGAAAAAAATGCGTGATAGAGAATCCTGTCGTGTTATAGGCGATTGTAGGTCATCAGATGGAACTGGAGAGCCTAATTGATCGTCTGATATCATGTCTTGGATTTGGAGATTTGGAGAGGTCCTGTTTCCTGACTCTTTCCGATATTTCAGAGGATAGGAAGTGTGCTGAGTTAAACTAGTGTTCATCGGTCGCGCTGTGGCTCAGTTTTTTTTTTACCAATTCATTCATTGATTATTTTTATAACCGATGAAAGGATACTACAGTATATATATTTTATTTGACCATCTCTCCTCTCTTGCTTTGAAACTTACGTGGTCGATTTGACGCGTGAATGATTTCGTGTATTCATTCGTTAAAGTCGTATTTTCGGTTCGCATTTATCCTTTATAATTCTCTGAATTTCTTCACGGACATGACACAGGAATAATTACACTTCACTTATGGATTTCAATGTGCTACTTATTCCTTAGACTCGTTTACTCGTGCAAATGTAACTGTGACCTACAAAAGAGTTTCGGGTCATGATACAGGTGTGTGGCGCACGTGTGTGGGGAGAGCGCAGGTGTGCACCCTGAACCTGTAAGCTAACAATTGTCAGTATGGGACTCTGGAGTTAAAAAATAGGTCTATTTATCCCAAGCTTGAATAAATAGAGAGGATTGGCGTCAGGAAGGACATCCGGCCAAAAAATATCTGCCAGAATCTGATCATAAGACAAAACCACAGAAAAAGAAGAGAGAAAATTAGAATTTACCGGACATCTTCACGGGAATCTGGTTTTGGATCGTTCCTGGTTTATTTCATTGATGGTTATTGCAGACCGTCGTCTCCGCACACCCTATATCCTGCTGTGCTCAGCTTCGTACTTTCTCCATCAACGCCCCTCCTTTGTGACTCGACTGTGCCCCCGAAAGTGCGCATTTTTTTCCGGCACACGAAGTGAATGACATTGCACATCATTTCTCAACGTCACCAACACGCACGTCATTGCACGTTTACTTTTCTTTGTAACGCTTTATACCTGTCATGCAAACCCCCCTCCCTACCCGTATGGACGTGCGTTACCACTTCCTGCAATGCTGTAACATCTTGCATTGTCTATCCAAAGAGTTTGATAGATCTTGAGTAGTGCGTGTGGCCCTTTGTCCACACAGTCCCCGGTAATGTCGTGATATCGAAGTCTGAATGATAGGTGGCCAGGAGGCAATCCGGCGGGGGGAGTGACCCGCGGGACCACCAGCTCCTTCTGTCCGACGCGAGGATACTTGAAGAAAAAATGACTGGCGCCTGACTCCCGCGTGAATTTTATGTCACCCTACCACGAATAGATGGCTACGTGTCCGTTTCTATCAGAAATGACTGAAACCGATGTATTTCCCCAGCGGAAAGATGGCGTGAGATAAAACAAGTACTCCAGAGGGAGTGGTGTTAGGAGGTCGCGGGCATTCCAGCATTTAGGTCACACGTGTCGCATAATTCCCGGGTCTCGTTATCTCTTTGCCAATGGCCTGTGTGATGGCCGTCTTATCCGGAACGTATGACCGGTCGGGAGGGGGGGGGGGATGGTCAGGCGCTTCTTTTTTGTTCTTGTTTGGGATAATGCATAAACAAGTTGGATACTTGATTGTAAACTAGATAGGCCTATATGCGATTCTTCGAAAGAGACTGTTTCTGAAATGAGAGACAAATATGTCCTATTGTATTAATATTTTTTATCATTTTTGTTGGTGTGTTTTTGTTATTGTTGTGGACGAATGAATGTTTTTTTTCGAGGTTCTGCATTAGTGAATTATCTAAAACAAACTGTTTGAGTTATATGGATTATGAAGCTATGATCCAGTGAACTTTGATTACCATGATTACTATTTAAAAAGAAAAAACTTTAGTTTTTGATCAAACATGTATTCAAATATTATATTTTAGTATGCCCTAAAACGGCGACTGAGTACGTTTTCTGATACAAGCTCACCGTGCACAGAAAATGGCTACTAGACATTTTAGAGCGGTAACTGCATAAAATTAGGTTAGGGATTTTAGAGCGATAACTGCGTAAAATCAGGCTAGATATTTTAGAGCTGCAACTATGTAAAATCATTCTAGGCATTTTAGAGCGGTAATTGTGCAAATCTTACTAGATATCTTGGATCGGTTACTATGTAAAATCCCTCAAATAAATGTATATATGCTTTAGGACTTAAGTCATTTAAGACATATAGAAAATGGAATTACATTGACATCTAAAATATGAATACCATTTATGGAATTGCATTGACATCTAAAGTATGAATAATATTTATAGTCCGTTTCTGTGTATACTTTCACGGAAAATATTACCATTCAGCAAATCTATGCACATATATATGATACGTGCAAATCGAAGCTAGGAATTAAAGGCATCCATTCCCTTAAACTTCGCGTTTGATAAAAAATCTGCAGTAATGTGCTTGAATGCAGGCTTAATCCAATTGGCATAGATGGTAAGAATACATGCCATGCCCACTGTCATATAAGTTCTTTTATTGTATTTACATTTGTAGATGGTTCTTCAAGTGCTTTGTCACTAAGGATTTAGTTAATACTCCTACTTATCTCGCCTGTTTATCTTTTTCCTTGATTTTTGGAATTTATTTTGTATTATTTCCTTGTCTGTAATGTTACCAAGATTATAATTAAAAATATAATCATAATATCAGTAAGAATAATAACAGTATAGATAACAATAATATTAGAAAGAAAAACACATTTTCCCGCAATTTCAAGGAATCGGGAAATCAGGTTCGGTCACTAGTGCCTACTGATAAACTCCTTGCTGGCTGAACACATGTGGAGCCATCTGTATATAACAAAATTTACAAAAAAAGAAAAGAAAAAAAGGGGACAGTACATAAATCCGTTGTTATTGGGTTAAATTGCTTTTGGCGAGAAGAGCAGAAACATTGTTATTTAGCTGAAGTTTGTCTTTTAGTTACAATTTACGGGAAGAAAATTGGCTTCGAAAGCAATTTTTCATTGCGAGCCAGTTTGGTTTCGTGTATGACAAACTTGTTGGATGTATCTTGCATACTAGTAACAAATTTTTATCCCTAGTTTTCTGTTTTATCTTATGATAGTGATTATTTTTTATATAAATTATTATGTTTTATGACTTTATTATGGCCAGGCCGCGGCATACTAAAGACTCAACACTTGAAGTCCTACAGAGGTGAAGTAGTCCCAATTCCTTGCACCTTTTCCTGGTTGCTCTTAACCAGGATATATTATACCAGCGTTTATATTTTTTAACAAGCAAAATTGCAGGATTTATGCTATGTATTTCATTGTAGGGTGTGTGTGCTTTCAAATTGCCCGTTTGTAATGTATGGCATTCTGATCCCGCAGACTTATCGAAGGCCAAGAGGAACCTGAGCAACAACCTGCAGCGCTTCAAGTTCGAATGCATCGGCAACAGTCAGACGGATGACGAGATCGTCATCGGGGGATCACTCAGGGAGTTCGCCAAGATCATCGACATGGTGGAGGACGAGCGGGAGAGAATGGTGAGTTCCTTTCGATTTGGTATTTTTCGTCTTTATTTTGTCATATTTCGCTTCGGGGGTTTTCTTATTGTTTGCGTGCATTTACTTTTATTTTTTCCTCGTCATTTTTATATCGTTTGGATACTCCTTTTTTAGATTTTTTTTTACTTGTATGTTTTTTTTTATTTTTTTATTTTTTAGATTTCTTTTTCTGATATAATTCAGTGGCTACTATTATTCCATTGCGACGCCCCTCACGCTCCTCTTCCTCTGTAAAAACGTCCTCCCCGAGTTATATTAGGAGGCCGGGATGACAGCATGCCATTTTATCATCTTCATGAAGTAAGCCACAACAGCCACTCTTGTTAATGCGGTTCTTTTTATAAAACCCGAGTGTGGATTTTGTGAGTCACCGGCGCTGCTGATCTCACTGGTCTTTCGGTGGGGCCGTGCTTTGCTCTTCGGCGTGGCTCTCCCGCCCGCGTTTGCTCCCGTGTGGCGGAGTACGGGCGTTTTATCCTGGAAATCGGGCATGGTGGAAATACCTAGCTGGATTTTTAGGCTAAATGTGGGGCTGGGAGGAGATACTTAGGTTGAACACGGACGTTTTGGGCTGAAGGTGGGGCACGGAGGTTATATACGTACGTTTTGGGCCAAAGGTGGAGTTTTGTGTTAATTCGTTGATGGAATACGTACGCTTTTATGCTGGGGGTGGGGCATGGAGGTAATATGTAGGTGGAATACATACGTTTTATACTGAAGGCGGGGACATTGAGATTAATACTATATGTCTATGGAAGGGAGGGACGGCGGTGTACAGGTTACGATCAAGAAGTGCTGGGTTGCAGATGGGTGTTACGCTTTCCTGTTCTAAGTAAGAGTAGTCGTGCGTTTTTTCTATACTTTTTTAGATGTTGCTTAAGAGTTCTTATAAGATAATGGGGTTTGAACGTAGGGGTATAGTGTAACGTAATGTAATAGGGGGAAGTTGGTGCTCATATTACGATCTTAGGATTGTCACTGATAGTAAGGCTCCCGGAAATGTTTGTGTGGGAGAGAATGGGTAGATATAATACAATGACGAAAGAGTAATAAAGATAATAAAAGAGTAAATAGATATATATGGGAGTAAATGGATATTACGAAAAAAATAGGTAAAAGAGTCAGTAGATATAACGATAAATATATGGAATAGCCAATAGATATAACGATAAATATATGGAATAGTAAATAGATATAACGAATACATGGATTAACAAATAGGTATAACGAAAAGTATATAAAAGAATGAATAGATAAAAAAAGCTAAAATGAGAGAAAAAAAGTAAATAGGTATAACAACAAATATATAGATTAGTAAATAGGTATAACGAAAAGTATATAAAAGAATGAATAGATAACAAAAAGCTAAAATGAGAAAAAAAAGTAAATAGGTATAACAACAAATATATGGATCTGTAAATAGGTATAACGAAAAGTATATAAAAAGAATGAATAGATAAAAAAAGAGGAAATGACAGAAAATTTATATAATGTATATAATGTATATAACTGATCCGACTCCAAAAATGGCTGACCCCCTCCTCTCGGCTCTCCGCAGCTGGACCGGTCGTACGAGCAGATCATCGGGCCGCTGGAGAACTTCCGCAAGGAGGCCATCGGCGGTGCCAAGGAGGGCCGGAAGAAGTTCGAGAAGCAGACGCAGAAGTTTTGCCAGTCGCAGGAGCGCTACCTCAACCTCTCCACCAAGAAGGACGACCAGGTGCTGCAGGAG